TAATACCGGTAACCAAAACTTACCCCTTTACCAACTTTCTCTTTTCTATACATTACAAATGTCATTTTTCCCCTTGTTTTCAGACTCTTGTGCTTGAACAGACCGTATCCAGACTAGATATTACCGTGGATGATGTAGAAGATACTCAGCCCACTGACAGTGATAATGTGAGTGGAAAAAAGATAGTTAAGAGGTGTTCCAATTTCATGTAGAAATCAAGTTTTCTAATGATGTACAGAAATCCAGTATTTTAATTACCTTTAGAAATAAATTTTCTTATTAAATGCAGAAATCTAGTTAATTACAAATATTTTTTTACCAGGCTGGATCGCAGGGTGAATCCACTGCTGCTGAATCTGTAGCAAAGCATCAGGCAGATTTAGAATCTGATTTGATGGCCGAGTTTTCACGTGAGATAGCACAGGAGAAAGGAAAGCAAATGATAAAAAAGTAAGGAGTTCTATTTTTAGCATCACATTATATAAAAAAGTTAGGAGTTCTATTTTTAGCATCACATTATATAAAAAAGTAAGGAGTTCTATTTTCAGAATCACATTATATAAAAAGTAAGGAGTTCTATTTTTAGCATCACATTATATAAAAAAGTAAGGAGTTCTATTTTTAGCATCACATTATATAAAAAAGTAAGGAGTTCTATTTTTAGCATCACATTATATAAAAAAGTAAGGAGTTCTATTTTCAGCATCACATTATATAAAAAAGTAAGAAGTTCTATTATTAGCATCACATTATATAAAAAAGTAAGGAGTTCTATTTTTAGCATCACATTATATAAAAAAGTAAGGAGTTCTATTTTCAGCATCACATTATATAAAAAAGTAAGGAGTTCTATTTTTAGCATCACATTATATAAAAAAGTAAGGAGTTCTATTTTCAGCATCACATTATATAAAAAAGTAAGGAGTTCTATTTTCAGCATCACATTATATAAAAAAGTAAGGAGTTCTATTTTCAGCATCACATTATATAAAAAAGTAAGGAGTTCTATTTTCAGCATCACAATATATAAAAAAGTAAGGAGTTCTATTTTCAGCATCACATTATATAAAAAAGTAAGGAGTTCTATTTTTAGCATCACATTATATAAAAAAGTAAGGAGTTCTATTTTCAGCATCACATTATATAAAAA